ACGAGATGTAACGAACGAAAGTCGAAATATCGATGGAAAACATTGGGAAACGCGAGGCTTTTGAAAATTTTCGATGAAATATCGACGCGTCATCGATACCAGCGAAATATATCGTGACGCAGCCGTGCTTCCCGTAGATATAAAGCGCTGATGCATTTTCGTCATAAATAACGAGCCATGGTGGTAGGGGTAGAGCAACGAATAAATAAATGCCGGCATGATCACCGTAACTCACAATTATAACGTGGCGGTTTTCGTGGTGGCGATATGCCACGAGTGGGGCCGCACCGCGTACGCGAGCGCCCGTCACTTTTAATTTCGCGGCAGCTCCGTTTGACACGTTTTGATTTTGCGATTTATAGCTCGCGTTCGATATCTCTCGCTAAAATCCGTGCACGATGATTTGTACAGTTTCGTACCCTTCTACTGTCTTCTGTCTCTCTCTCTCTCTCTCTCTCTCTGTCTGTCTGTCTGTCTGTCTGTCTGTCTGTCTCTTTCTTATTTTCTTTTCTTTTTTTATTGGTATAACCACAAGCGTCAATTCTCCATTTTGAATGATGTAATCACGATTTTCTAAGATTATCAGATAATTTATCGAAGATAATGTTGTAAGATTGAGAAACCTTTACATAATGTAATATTGAGAAACCTTCACGAATATACGATATCAATTTGTTGATTTTACATGTACAATACAAAATACAAAACTTCAAGTTTTTGTTGAAGAAATATCGCTTGCAGTAAAATCAACAACGAGGAGGGTCGGAAGAAAACAGGTAAACGCCACGGGGTAGAAAGAGCCGCGCGAGTGCCACTTGGGTGCCGTTACTTTGCAGTGTACTGCCCCGGAAAATTGTTTACTGGATTGTTTAAACGAAATTTAGTAAAGCTTACTGATTTTATATCACGTGAACGTAGCCCAGGGGAACCACCATGCCGGATTATACATTAACGAAGTTAGTCGCGACGCGTTGGGGAGAAAGCGGGGGTGCCAGAGTTAGCTGGAAGTTAGATCTGCCCTATGATCGTCATAAAACCAAACCCCTTTCATGCTGGAGACCGCAGGGAGAAATAAAATAAAACAAGAATGAAAGATAAACGCGAAAGGTATTGAAAAATACACGAATCGTTTTCGTAGTAGTTTTGATTTTTTGTATTGTTATGTAATTTAAAAGATCATGTGGGGTTATAAAGAATAAAATAATTAGACGTCTGGTCTAAGTGAAACGTACAAACATATAAATATATACACATGTAAATAATGACAATGAAATTAAATAATTTTCTTTCCGATTAAATAGTGCGCGTGTGTGCGTGCGTGCGTATATGTAAATTAGAAAGTAAAATGAAAATTTTCTTCTCAATTACTTCTTTTTGTCTCCTAGGTTAAGAGAGAAAGAGAGAAAGAGAAATCAAAAAGGTCCTTTCGATGAGGAGGAAGCTCGGCAAATATTTATGGGGTCCCATATGCCGCGGCACGAATCGCCACTGAAAAGCAAGCGGCCGACTGGTCCAACCGAATCCATCTGGTCAAAGTGGCGATCGTAATGTTCTGTCGGTTATCACCTATAATTTGGGGTAATATATTACCCAGTAATACTTTGCTCATTGGTGTAAGATGCAATTATGAATATAGCAGGCGCCGTGTCGGATGATTCCACCTATTCGTTACCGTTCGCCACGTCGACCACATGTCTCGTACGGGTTTCGAACTTCTACAGGCGAATCAACTTCGATTTCGATCTCGTTCGGCCATTTCGTACTTAAATCATTTAAGGGCCCGACACCGTTCTATACGCCCTGAACGATTTAATTCGGCAGGTGAACGTCGAGAGAACGTCGTCGAGAACGAAATTGTTCTTACCACGAGACGAATCGTCTACCAAGAATACGTCTTTAAATTTCGCTCGGACGTAATTTTTCAGTTCGCCCTAAACCCTTGCTCGTAAATCTTGCCGAAAGGGAATCAGGATCGTACAACGAGAGCTGCCGTGTGCGTTAAATAGAACGATATTTTAACAGGGCGCGAGCATTATCGCGTTTTTATGCCTTTTAAATTGTTTTCTCGCACCTCGAAAAAAGGACCGAGACTCATCAATAATAATAATTATTTTCTCTATTACGAGTGTACTTTTCTTTTTTTCTCTGGTTGAAAATTTTCGTTTTTTCTTTTCTTTTTTTTTGTCTGAATATACTCTGATATCCTTTCTCGGTTTCATTTCTTTTCCTTTTTCTCGAGGAATTTGAAAGCAAGTAATTAAGTTTGGGGTTAAATACCTAGCCCCACCCACCCTCCAGTGGCGTAGGTTCACGCCGAGACAGATTAGACTCGTAATAAAGTGCTGGGGGTGCAGTCACGGTGGAAACGGTCCACGAGGGAGCCACTAAGGCACAGCTCGTTGGAAACTGGTCTGAAACAGATTTAAACTCGTTTTCTTCGGGCCGCCACCAAAGTTTCTCGCGTTTTAATTAGCGAGACTCTACGCGTTCTTTCTCTTTTTATTTCCATTCTCTTTTTTCTTCTGTACTTACCAATTTAAAAAAAAAATTAAAACAAAAATAGACCTTTTCATCGCGCCTGCATTACAAATAATATGCAAATAATAATTAAAATTACAATTTTATTTTTGAACGAATGTTTTATAGAATTTCTATTTCATTCAAGATTTTATACTACTACATGGATAAAAATAAATAAATAAATAAATAAAAGAAGTAATTAGTTGCAATAAAAATAATAAAGACGATCTTGAGATCAGATTATAGAAAAGTCAATTTCCTTGCTTGATATTATTCCGCAAAAGGTTTCTTGCGATCGGACGGAAGAAGAGTATTAGCCTGGAGCATTTGTAGGGTAAATGAGAAAGGGAAAAGGAGACGATGATAAAGAAGAAGAAGAAGAGAAAGAGAAGGATGGAAATGAAGAAGAAGCGAAGAAATTCGCTCAGCCAGCACGACGGAGGTAATTCGCGAGGAGAAATTACTTAACTCTCGGATGATACATAAATTAAGTCGGAATCGTAAAGGGGTCCGTGGCACAGTCGCAGCCAGTTAGCGTGAGGGTGCCCCAGGGGGCAGTACACCCCTGCCACCACTGACGTCGTTCTCCCAATATCTCTCTCTCTCTCTCTCTCTCTCTCTCTCTCTTTCTGTCTCTGTCTATCTCTCTCTCTCCTTCCTCAACCCTTTACGATGCTACGCCACTGCCTAATAGAATTATCCTCCGAGTTGAAGTTGCTTGGCCAGGATTGAAATTGCCATCACATTTTTAAAATCTCGTTAATTAAGGTAACCGTCCATCTGTTTTCCTTCCTCTACCTTTCTCTCTCTCTCTCTCTCTCTCTCTCTCTCTTTCTCTCTCTCTCTCTCTTTTTCTCTCTCTCTCTCTCTCTCTCTCTCTTTCACTCTTACATTTTGTGCCTCTGGTATTCATGTCTTTATTCTCGCAAGAAGTTCCTAGGCATTTCGAAGACGATCACATGCATCTATTAATTAGTAAAACCAGTGTAACGACTCATTTTCTAACTTCCTTTTATTCCTCTTCCATTATTTTGCATCTTTATTGAAGATCGTGTTATTTGCGACTATTGGAAATGAAGTTTCGATCATTAGAATATATACTGTCCAATACTAATGTCGTTCAATATAATTTCCCTCTTATTTCTATGTTTTAAATTAACAAACAATATCGTAAGATAAATACGTTTATGAGATAAAAATTTTTCAAATCGCTAATCTAAATTATTGAAGTTAAAAATATAGACGAACATCTTCGGGCATGATCAAAGGCGTGAAATCGTCGAGGAATTAATGTTACCTGTTCGGGACAAGAGTCACGCTTCTTCATCGAGGGTTTCACGTCGAAACGGACACGAAAGAAGTTTATCCTTACCACGAGCGTCACGTTTGCTGTCCGCAAAACGAATCGGAGCGAAAGTATATATCCTACAAAAAAGGTACGGATGACTAAAAGGAAAGAGAGAGAGAGAGAGAGAGGGAGAGAGAGAAGCCTGATGGGCACAAGCAGAGTCCATTAAACCTTAAGTCCCGTGCGAAGCGATGCGTCATTGAGATACACGAGAATCCTAGCAATAATAATTCGTCGTGTTGGGATGTTGGATCTCCTCGATGGGGTTGGGTAACTCTAGCCAGGTTTTAGGGGATAGGTGAATGTATCCTATCTTTGTCTCTGTCTCTGCCAGTTTCTCTGTCTTTCTCTCTCTCTCTCTCTCTCTCTCTCCTTCTCTATCTCTCTATCTCTCTCCCTCTCTATCTCTCTCTCTCTCTTGCTTTCTCTATTTCTCTCTCTGTCTCCGTCTTTCTCATACCCTCTATCTTCCGCATACGATACGGATTACGAAATATGTTCCCTAATCCGCGAACGCACGCCTATCCTAACATAGACGATCTATCCTCTTTTCGTCTCCCACGAGATTCGGGATTATCGTCGGCGATAAGCTAATTTTTTTTTTCTTTCTTTCATTCTTTCTCCTTTCATTCGAGGAATTTCTCTTCGGGTAGGGAGCCCGGAGAAAATTGGAAAATGACGCGTCGTCTGCTCTATGGCATGCGGTACGCCGACGGTAATAACAATGGTAATGAGGCGAAGGGAAAGAAAAAAAAGGCAGAGACGTTAGTACGACGATGGATGTCAACGTATATTTTTGTTCGATCGAGGAACACTCGATCGTAGTATAGGATCGTCCGAAGGCCGGACGTGAATTTCTTAATCTTGTTGTTATGACCTTTGATGTTCATCGTAGCTATTTACATTTATTTTTCTTTTATGATTTGTATACATATGTGCGTATAAGGCATGACGATTATATCAGTACTAAAGTTTCCAAATACGTATATATGACATAAACAAGCCGAGTTTCAGTGACCTCTGTATTGATTTCGCGATCACATGATCTTAAGAAAACATTTTTAAGAATGAAGAAAAAATTAAAGATTTTCAAGAATAGATGAGATCAACGTTAGTCTCTCTCAACGACCCTTACAAATTGGTCATACATACAAGTTCCGTAGTTTAATCTCTGTTGGATTTTATTGATATTTAAATTTTGCGACGATTATATCTAGATCGTAAAATCTCTTAGTTATAGATATAAACGACATTATTATTAAGTGGTCGAATCTATCTTGTAATGTATAAGCGTAATTTAATATAAGTCTCTTTTTTTTTTTTTTTTTTTTTTTATAATAATGAACTTATATTAATCCATTTATATCTTTTAATTTCAATTTCACACTTATCTCACAACTACATATGCATATTTACGTGCGTATATAAATATATTGCGTAATATGGAAGTATACTGCGTAGTATATATGTAAGTATATAGGTTTATTATATATGAGCAGGTACTTCGATCAATGCGGAAGAAGTCTCGTGGTACTAGATATGAACCGTGCGAGAGGTTGATTTATACTGATATATAAATATACATATCTCGTATAAGTTAACAATCACTTATCTCAGGAGTTCGCCTTGCAGAATTTTAATAACGAAATGATATGGATAGTTTCAATACCGGTTCTAATGACTATTAGAACAGTACGAGATACAGTAGTCCTCATACGCGTAAGGATTAATTATGCTTTCGGCATTGCGTTTCGCTCTGGCAACCGAGAGCTCGAATAATGTCGAGTGGAAAACGATCGTGATGGCAGAAGTGAGGTATGTATACATATATATATATATACACATACATACATATGCATGCATACATACATACATACAAGCATACACATACATATGTATATATGTATATATATATATATATATATATATATATATATATGTATATAAAACATTCCATTTGTCTAGAAAAGCAGGATAGTCCGTTGACTCGCCATAGGCGCCATACTTCCCGTTCCCGAGTTCTTATTTATTCCCGTCTAAAATCTCATTTTCCTTGAAATATCGAGCTATACCCAGCGGAACGTGCATTCGCAGTATGATTTTTCATTAAAGTGTCTCGGCCAACTGAGATATGGCCGGGACATTGAATGTAGCTACTCCAACGAGTTGGAGAAGAACGGTCGTATGGGAAATTCTCGAGATAAAATGTGTAAGAGAAAAAGAAAAAGAATAAAAGAATAAAAGAAAGAGAGAATGAAGTAAGAGAGAAAAAGAGATAATAGGGATGCGAGAGAAGAGAGGAAAGAGGTTAGAAGGTGGAGTCAACTTTTGTGCAATACCACAGCTATGATGTACGACCAACCTACTTTCCCCATGAGTGAGGTAAAGACAGTGGCATGCGAAGTTACATGGTATAAAGAATAATGTTCGAACGATTCTCGGTTTCGTTGCTATGCCGAGTCGAAATAGTACTTTTGTACATACTCGAGAAAGAGTATATCGGTGATTTTTCAATGTTGATAGTGATAAAGGAGTGATCAACTTTCGTACAAGGACGTGTGAATGGAGTATTCATAAATAATGTGTCTTATAGAATTCGGAAAATATAATAGAACGTTATCACGAGTTTCTATTGTTTGCAGATCAATTTCAATTTTTGTTCTTTATTGATAGAGCTTTTGAATTGCACCTAGATGATTAATTATATAATCGCGATACTTTTATCGATCTCCTATGTAGAAAACTTTTAAATTTTACTTTTTAATATTGATTTATTAAGAGAACGCTCAATTTTTTTTGAAAAAATTTAAGAAATCGATTGAAATATTTTCTTATATTTTAAATGTAAACTTTACCGTAACAAAATTAATTGAGATCGATGATGATCATGTCAAGTGACTCATCTCTTATAAGCCCTTCGAAATCGTTATATTTTTTTCCCCAAAGAAATTCAGCCTATCACTGTAGAAAATCATTTTGAGTATTATGGAGGGCGTATGATTGTAAGAAATAGAGAAAAGTGACAAAGCGGATATCGAGTTCTTGCTAACGAGGTTCGACGATCTCAGCTAGAAGAATACTCTTTGAGTTGGCCCCAGGTCGTGTCCTGATCAAACACATTAGCTTCGACTTCCGGTCGATCGTGAGCATCAAAATGGACTGGCATTGTCGTAGAAGAGCGATGACAAGCCATTGTCACGAGGTGCAACTCGCGATGGTGTTCGTTTGTCGAGGAAATGGGGAAGTCGAGTGGCTCTTTCGAGCCCTCCAGATCGTCCACGAAGTTACCACGAATCAGAGGGTGGTAGTTCCAAAAGCTATCTCTTTACTCAAAGACCAACCGGAATGGATGGTGGTCTTTGATAACATGACACTATTCATCGTTATACTTTTAATTTGAAACGTGTCATGTAATGTCTTCTCTTAAATTTCAACTTGCAATTATAAAAATTCTAAGAATTATGAAAATAAAGTTATCATTTCAGTACTTTTTTCTTTTAACCTTTATGATAATCAAAAGGAAAAGGATATAATTTTGATTATTTTTCTTTTTCCTTTTCTTTCTCCCCAAGCGAGTTGATACTTCGTATAAAAAGAGAAAACATAAAAGGGAAGACATTAAATTACCTCGGCACCGAAAAGAAGCCACGAAGTACCGGGGAATGAGGTGGATGGGCGCGTTTAAGTTCATCTCAACGGAAATGCATGGACGCTTCATCCCCGTCCAGGTCGACGTAAACGTGATTCCACAGAGTGGTGGTACGTCGTTGGTGTAGGCGAGCCAATTTAAAAGGCTAATTCCCGGATGGAAGCCCGTGGGACGGGTGCGCGATGTCGATGGCGGAAAAAAGGGGGATGGTCGACGGTTCCGAAGAGGGAGTTAGAGGAGGAGAATGAGGAAGAGAGAGAATAGGGAGATGGAGGAAGAGGGAAAATGTACGAAATTAGGCACGATGCTTTTTTGCCTGGCTCTGAGGGTGGCGTAATTCGAGTTTCCATCCTTCTTTTCCTTTCTTTCTCTCTCTCTCTCTCTCTCTCTTTCTCTCTCTTTTTCTCTCACACCCTTCATCCCTTCTCTCGGCGAAAAGAGAAAGAAGAGGACAGTCAGGTTTCCTCAGTGAAGAAGAGGGCTGATTCTCAAGCTCAAAAGTAAACCAATTTCGTGGCTTGTTTAAAGCCGAAGGTAGAAACGATGTAGAAAGGCCTCGCTTGCTGCGAACTTGCTCGTTGCTGGTGGCGGACTCCCTCGAGTTATTTCACGTAGGTAACGCGCCGTGAAATTACGATGATACGCGAATCAATGGACTTCCAAAAAGGGACGTGGCAGCGTTCAATCCCCTTCCTTTTCACCGTCCCTCCCTCCCTCCCACTCTCTTTCTGTCTCTTTCTGTCTCTCTTTCTGTTTCTCTCTCTCTCTCTATTTCTCTTTCTCTCTCTATCTCTATTTCTTTTTCTCGCTTCTCGCTTTTTTCTTATCTTTTCGAGAATCCGTGAGAACGTTGGAATTTTTGAAGATTCGTAATCATCGAATTCGTCGAAGCCACATCATCGTTTTATGAATTTCGCGAGATTTTTTTGCGTTCCTAATAACTGCTAGAACGTGCGTTTAAGTAGTTCTAACTCGCGGAAACCTCATCATCACTATCGCCAAAGGCTCTCGTGTCATTCGCTTGTAGCTTGCGTGAGACGCCTGCGCTTTACCGTTGAATTACTATGTTATTCTTCTTACTTTTTCTTTTTCCCTATTGCTCGTTCACTCATTGGTGGTACTAATAGGATGTGGGAAAGATCCTCATCGTTTTGTTAACACGTGTAACATTTACGAAAATGACTTTATCACTCGGAAATTATTTCTATGAAAATTTCTCAATAGTACAAGCACGAAACGTTATCATATGTATTGTAAGAAACAATAATCAATTTTTGAAATTTTTGATCAAGTTTATTTTTTCGATTAATAGATTATATTTTGATATCTTATTCTAAAACAATATCTACATAATCGTATTAATGAGATTTTTCTGTTAATATTACTAACATGTAGTAACGCAATTATGGTATGTCATTTTAATATATGTATATATATTCATGGAAATGTTAAATTTAAGAAAATAAAATAGTGCATGTCGAACTAGATTAAATAATTTCATCTTAATAATTATATAAATTTCATTGATGATATTTATGACAGAATAGACAGCTATTTTACGTATCTTCGATTTTTCGAGTGGCCTAGAAATATTTCACGTTTGCATTCACGATCGATCGAATTTCCTAAACTTCTTTCACCCAGGCAACCATTATACTCTCTCCCTCTGTCCAGTCGCTGACCATCGGAAAATGATCCAATTCTCCGGCTCGTAAAACAGATTCTACAACGATTTCGTTGGGCCGTGTCGTCGCGAACGAGGGTCGTAGAAGAGAAAAAGAGAAAGAGAGATCGGACAAATCCCAAACATATTTTCGCCAGGTTGCTGAATTCCCTGGCTTTTCTAAGTATCACTGGTTGACCGCGGAACGCGGTAGCTCGTGATCGGGAACTTCCCATGGGGATGTTATCCTCGTGCGTTATCCTGCCAAAGGAGGAACGTAAAAGTAGGATGAGAGAGATCTAACGTAGGAGAAGTTGGTCAAAAAGAGAGAAGGACCATTCGGAGATTCAAACCATCAAAGATTCTGTAATACGTGTGGTATACATATCTACATACTTACACGTGAAAGAGAAAGAATAAAGTAGAGACGAAGAGGAAAGAAAAAAGAGAGATAAAAAATGCGTGCGAGGGTAGAAAAACGGAGTGGAAGGGAGGGGGCGGGTATAGTGGTAGAGTATAAGAGAGGAGAAACGCGTAGGTCGAACGTCCGTAGCCCGCGGCCAAAGTCTCATGGGTCCCATAACGGGACGTCTCCACCCTCTCGGAACACCAGAACGCGACAAGCATCGGGATGCACTGTAGGGATACTACGTCGTTATCGCGGCTTGCTTCTGTATGTCCGCCATATGTAGTGGTCGAACGTTCATATAGTCTTTTCTACGATACCATGATGGGTTTTTTTTTTCTAAAAGAATAAGACTCACTTTATTACGGATCAAATTGCGATTAGTCGAAGGTCAAGATTTAATTTTTTCTTTTTCCTTTGTTTTCTCTATAAGTCTCGATAGTTTCTAATATAGAACACTTGAATGTTTTAGGGTTGTTCAACTTCTTTTTATAAATATATAATTTCTTTTTTATTTATTTTTTTTTTTTTTAATGAGACATTTTTATCGTTGTTATATAAATAAAGAAAAAACAACGACAGTTAATATAATGAAAGGACTGATTGGTAAAGATCGTAGAGCACTTCTGCGGGGGTTGTAGAAACTTCGAAATGGCTGACGTGTGGTCGCACTTCGATGATGATGCTTACGAGGACTGATGTTTTGCGAGATCGTAGAACAGGGGATGAAATTGGGAATAAACAAGACGGAACGACGGAAAGGATACCAAATGAAAGAGAAAGACAGAAAAAAAGCGTGTATGTGTGTGTGTGTGAGAGAGAGAGAGAGAGAGAGAGAGAGGAAGAGAGAGAAAGATTCGTTTTGATTTCCTAGTTTCAAGACCGTGTATGAGAAAGAGTGAGAAAGGGAAAGAGAGATAGAAAGAGAGAAAGAGAAACGAAAGCGATATCGCGTAGCCCTCGAGGGGTGCGATGGTTATTTTTATTTATGAGGAAACCACCATGAAAAGGGAGCCAGCGGCGACGGCGGCAGGGCGCGACAAACCCCGTGGCAATCTGTTGGGATTTCCACAAGTTGAATTCGCTTAGTCGGCATGCCCGGGGCGTGTCGGGACTTAACGATAATCGTGTTTCCTTTTTCATCGGGCCGCGAAAAGTAACGCGCGCTCGTGCTTCCACGCTCGATGCTACGGGAAGCCACGCGACGGAGGATTCATAAATTTTTCCGGTCTATTCGTTTTTATTAAGGCTCACCACGGTGCAAAATGAGCCCGCGTTATTTTTAAGCGCCTAACGTCAACGTCGGTATAAAATAATATTACGAAAAAAGTTGCGCCTGCACTGGACACGTTCGTCATATTTCTTCGGTATTTTTTTTTCCCTTTTTTGTTTATTTTTTCTTTTTTCTTTTTTCCTCCTTCTTCTTTCATTCCAATGTATCTCATATACGCTGATAAATAAAATGTTTGCGACCTTTAAAGTTTTTCTCTGTGCGCTATTTCCCATTGTTTCATTTTAAAATTTGTCTACTCTTCCCTATGCGGTTACTTCGATGAATTTTTCCTTC